TTCCCTCATCAATCCATCTTCGATACCTCGCCCCCACAACCTCCTCCGCCTAACCACCCAGCCACCCACCCAACCAGCCAACCCGTACACACACCCATCTCATCTCACCAAGAGTCACAGCACGGGCGAGACCGTAAGCCTCAGCAAACACCGACCCGGCAGCCTGGCGCCAGCCTCCCCATCCCCGCCGACCGTCAGCGCGCCCACGCCAAACAGCGGCTCCTCGACCCGCACCTCGACCAGCGTCTTCGGCGACACCCGCGCCAGGCCCCCGGCCTCTCCCCGCGGCCCGGCGGCGGGGGCCCGGTGGAAGCCGAACCGCAGTCGGAGAACGGGTCGGTGGAGGCCCGGCCGATCGACCAGACAGGGCGGGATGAGGTCGCGGAGGTGGAGCGGCTGGCGCCCGGCGGTCGCGGTCGTCTCCAGCTCGGTGAAGGTCTCGTGCGTCTGGGCCTTGCCGTTGTAGAGGAGGAGGGTCGCGCCCATGGTGTAAGCGAAGTTCTGCGCGGCGGTGACGGAGAGGGTGACGCTGTGGACTTCGTGGGGGATGCAGATGTTGATGGGCTGCGACCAGTGGTAGCGGCGGTCGGGTTGGTCCATGGGCTTCCGGTGTGCGTTTGGTAGGTACTCGACGTGGTAGTAATGTGGTGTAATGTACCTTATGTAGTATATAGCATATGGTCTGGTTTACGAATCTTTTTGATAGTGCAGAAATCAAGCTGCCTTATATGCATTACACCGTATGGCATTCCGCTGTGTATTCTGACTCACATAATCTGCAACTCTGTACGATATAATCACACCAGTTGCATGCATGCAAGTCGTTAGTCGACAAGTAAAATAATAGGCTCCCCTATCCGTGGACTCTGTGACTCTATACTCCACAGTCTACAAACACACCAGCACCACCGTTCCCAAATGTAAGCGAGCAAGTTAATTAGGCTAGACGACGAACGATACGGAATAAGATAAAACTTGATGATAAAAAAGACTGTAAGAAGGAGAAACTTGAATCAATACAGCAAACAGAAGCTCCACACCCCTCTCGCTGATTTCCGTGCTGTTCGAGGTCCAAGGTGTACTCATTAAATCAAGTCATTGTTTTCACGGGCATTTGATGTTTTCACGGGCATTCAATATTTTCACGGGGCGAGCAGAGTGACTCCTGGTTAAGAATTCCGATTTCATTTCCTTTCCTTTCCTTTCCTTTCCCAATTCGCTTCTACGCTCGATCCAGGTCTTGCGGTTCCAGAGATCCAGGTCTCGAGCCTGGCCTCCTCCTGCTCTGTTCCCCGTCAGCAGCGGCGCGATCCAATGTTCCACCGGAGAGGAAAACTCGCGGGGGTAGCCCATCCATTGTCCACCGAAAGAAACTCAGCCCTCCAGAGTCGCATCGACCGTGAGGCGCAGCAAGCCCTGGCGGGGAAGCGGACGCCCCTGGGCATCAGACTGCGGCAGCACCTCAATCCACGGGTCGGTCCACAGCAAGTCCCCGGAGCCGATACGCATGGCGCCCTTGAGTGCGATCCTGACGATTGGGGGTCCGGGGTCCGGAATCCCGCGGGCACTCGTGGGGCTCCAGAACTTGAACTCGAAGGTCAGGGTTGGTCGCACCGGGTTGAGGCTCAGGCCCGAGCTGGAGACGGCGTTGAGCGGGCCCAGGCGCTCTCGGGAGATGGGATGCTGGCCAGGGCGCATGATGAACCGGCGCACGTGTGGCGCCTGGCCGTGGAACGAGAGGGTTGTTCGCATCTTCTGCGTGAAACCGTGATGCTCGCTGCAGACAAAGATGAGCTGGGTGGCATGGATGGGGATGCTGACTGAGAGTGGCTCGGACCAAATGAAGTCTCCTTCTCTGGTTGCCTGAGCCATCCTTGCGTTCTGCTGGGTTGCTCTTGGTGGTTCTCGTGCTGATGTGTGAATTGAAAGTATGATGTTCAAGATCTGAAAGCTTGCTTGGATGATGAAAAGATGTGGCATCCGGCAGATGCGTGCATTATTATACAGACAAAACGAATGTCTGTCCCATATCAGTGATCAACCACTCTGAAAAACAGCACCTTGGAACAGCAGCCCATACTAAGACAGGCATATACAACACAACCTCTGAGCAGAGGCCTCATGGAGTACATGGAACAGTCTTAGAAGACGGAAACCAGCGAAGCAGGGACTAATAAACCGGCTTGAGAACAGCACCGCTCTTCGTTCAATACTCTATCCTCAGATATTAGATGAGAGACGCCAGGTAAACAGAAGAATCATCAAACCAGAACAGATGAGCATATTCAGTACCCAGATTTAAGGCTGGAGACTTTTTAGCGATTAAATTTTGCAGAGCCAAGAGCGCGGACACAAAGTCAAGTCGAAGACAAGAAAATCCGCGAACATCAAAGAGCCGTGACAATAGCCTTTGTTGCATTCAAAGCCTTTGTCTCCAGTGATTTGCAATTGACAATGGAAACCTGCTCGGCTGGGCTTATTCTTGCTCTGGCTTTTCGAGTTCGAATCATGCAGGGGCTGCTCGGAAGAGACAGCGTCTCGCCGTAGACGACGACCAGCACCCGCAACTGGAAATGTGGTCAATCGAGATACCAGGCTCTTCTCTAGCTCAACTTCCAATCTATCATATTTCGCAGCAATAATTTGGGAATCTGGTTACAGAATTTTTTCAAAAGTTTTTTTACCACCTCCGCACTTGTAGAAGAGAGTAAGGGAGAGGGGGCGTAGTGAGCAATTCGCGTGCTGTCTCGCACTCACTTGCAAGGAGAGCATGGACACGACACGACGTACGTTCGGCAGCATAGTTTGTGTACTGCACTTGCAGGAAGCAAGCAGGGTCAAAGGCCCTCCCTCCAAGTCCAAGGTGCACATAGCCTCTAGTCATCTCTTCTCGCCTCACCGTTCCATCTTCTTCTGTCTCGAGGTACCACCTCTCGCTTCCGGGCCCCAAAGAGTTCCTTGGTCTCTCGCAGCCAGGTCGAGGGCTCTCCCGGCGATTCCGAGACGGACATCTGCCGTCTACGGTAGGCAGCTGGCCCGGGGCGGGAAGCCTTGGCCATGCAACCCGGGCCAGACTCACCAAGTGGCTGTTAGAACAACGAGCGAGCACGCAGACGATCCCAAGAAGCCAAAAATAGCCATCGAGTAACCGCAACCCGCACGGCATGAGAACCGGTCCGCAACCGACAACCTGCAGTCAAGATCTCAGGAATTGCTCCTAGAAGTCAAAATTTCCCTTCTCAGGATGAGCCGGAAGCACGGAATAGTGAGACATGTTAGATGCCGTCGCGTTTGCTATTAGGAATGGAGAGGGCCCAAAGGCAGCCAGCCGTGCTCAAAACGCAGACCCAGCTTGGCAAAGAACGACCAGGTCTTTTTTTCCCCTTCGCAGACAGATTGTTGTTTTGATGCGTGCAGCAAGAATCAAGATCGAAGGTATAGATAGGTATGCATCACGGAGTCTTCATCCCGGGCCCTTTTTAACTGAGGCCAGGCATACCTACCGAGCATATTTTCCTGCCCGCAATGTGTTGAGAACGAGCCACCGCAAAGCACAGAACAAGGGGGGATTGTTGTTGTTGTTGTTTTTGTTGTTTTTGTTATTGTATTTGTTAACGTCGGGCGGGTGGCAGACGGAGCCTGCCGCCCTGGGACCTCTCACAGGGTACGGCGACGTGCTAAGCCAAGGAGCTACATACAAAAGAAAGCCTCAGGAAGCAGGTCATGGTGGTAAATATAGCAAAGGCTGCCATCGACTGCGCCCTTCCCTTACAGAAAGGATGGGTCACAGAGAGAGAGCAAGCTCTCGTCAAGGAAAGAAAGCCAAAGAGGCAAGGCAGAGACTGCCATAGCTAGCTTAGAAGCGTAGCTGTGTCCGAGTACTGGCAGAGGGTACGAGGAGAAGAGCCGGCCGCGATCAGCACTCTCATCACCATCGCTACTAATTGCATCCGCTTGGTATTAGCAGTACAGTACAGAGAGCCTCTGAGTGCTTCTGTGATCTTCGATGTTTCCGGCATCATCCAAGCAAACCACTCATTGCGACTTGCACCAGACTTGCCTAAGCATCTGCAAGCATCCGCCCCGGATTCTGCAGGTGTTCCTCCTTCTTGAGCCTCTTGTATACCTCCGCATCTCTCGTACTCGTCTTCTCCAGCGCTGATCTCCCGTGGTATTATCGCTCTCCCCGTTTCGCAGTCATCCTCCTTTGCGTCGAGAGGTAGAGTGTATCCCCATTCCGTATCGAGTTTCTGTGCCTTAAACCCCGTTCGTTCGTACCATTGTGCTCACTCAGGATGACTCCGGACCATGTTCATTCGCCGGGTAGACTTCTCTAACTTGGGACCTCTGCATTTCGTTTGTACTTCTTCGCCTGTGAGGGCTGTCCCGATGCTGCGAATGGCATTCAGAAGTGTCTCTTGGTCTTTGCAAAGGCTGCTTGGGCTGCGGAGGATGCGATGGCGGAAGAAGAAGGGAAAGGTCGCCTGGCTTGGAGAAGCCACCGATCGTCGCGGGAGACATGATCGCCGAGAGAGGCAGAGAGAGAGAGAGAGAGAGAGAGCCGAAGAAGAGACACTGATTGAAAATCAGACCCTGCCTGGAAGAGACGAGGATCAGATTCGTGGAGGAGGCGCCGAGGCATATCCGCTTGGATGGAGAAACATCCCATTCGAGAGCCCGGCTTCCTTGGCTGGAGAACGCACAAGGTAAAATAGATCGATGTACATACAATCAATAATACATACAGTACGAACCCCCGTCACAAGAGAGTATCTACGCTCGAAACGGGCCCGAGAAAGAAATCAAGAAACGGGGATCCTTAGCCCGAGTATTCTCAGCATTCTACGATATACAGATATAATATACAGATATAATATACAGATATAATATATATATATGTATACATATATATAGAAAAATCAAGACGCAAAACTCAACTGGAAGCCCACAGTGACCGGTGTCACCTGGGGCTCCAGTTTACAAACCCAACTGGATAGGTTTTTCGTCCCTGCTCCTCTCCACCACTCCCGTGGATCGAGCAGGCATACGATGGTCTCAATCGGCTAGTGTCAAGATGGTGCTCACAGTTCGTCAAGCGTGCGCGTGAGCCATTGAGCCACTATGTCCATGTCGCCGATCGATACCTACGCAATCGAGAATGAATATGTATGAAGTAGGTAAGTTACTTTCCGGCGGGTAGGTATGAGATCTCTAGGAATCCTAGGAGATTCGGATCATGCTGGCTAGATGTTGGGTGGACGAAAGAACGGGAGGGCGAATCTTCTACGTCAGGTAAGTAGTGGATTTGGCGGCGCGACTTGCTCAGACTGTGCCGATGCTGAGTTGCGAATCCCGATCTCAGCGAGGAGGGGATCACGCAGGAGACTCCGGTACTACCATGACCACGAGACCGGATCTACGGTCAGCCTTTACGTGCCGAAGGTCAGGGCCTCGGAAGTTCAGAGGCGATGGGCGCCGACGCAGGGCCAGGGTCGGAGAAGGTTGGCTATCCTTGACAGACGTACGGAGTAGGTTCTCCCATCTGGTCTCATTTTGTCTTTGCCGACTGAACTCTTTTGAAGGAGTGAAGCGAGGGGCACACGGTGGAAGTCAAGGGAAGTCTGAGAGGATCGGGCAGCAAGACGCTTGGCTAGGGAGCGTGGCTGGACGGCTGAAATGCCTCTCCCACCAGGCTTGTTGGGAGTCGCGGTATAGCCAGGTACGTAGTATGTTCTGAGACGGTACGCTGTTCCGATGCGCGATGGGGGCAGAGTTTGACACGGGCTCTGACTTGGGCGCCGCCGGACGAGGGGTTCGCGTGGGCTTGCTTCGGTATACTATACCTCTGCTTGGTACCGAGTGCGACTGCATGGAATGTGCACGACGGTCTCCGAGCGTCATTTTCACGCGGTTTCGAGGTGTAGAGTGGCTTGCGTCTATATGAAGATCAAGGGGATCTGACTGATTCGGACGAGGATCGCTCTTTACACGGTGGTGTTCCGTCTGAGCTGTTCATCAAGAAACTGATTCGGCAGCTAGCTGAATGAATGTATGAAATGGAATCCATTCACGGCTGCTACCGTCCCACGCGGCTCGATCCACCTCAGGGTGGTACATACGCCAGAGCACACGGCAATAGTATGAAAACACGGCACATCTATGCTCATATTTGACTTCAGGCGCACTCGTATCCTACAAAGCATAAACCCATTGCGTCCACAATCCGACGATCACTCCGACCCCGACGGTCAAGTCACCCACGCCGCGACCCTCCGCTACCAAAACCTCCACAAGCTCCACAAGCTCACTTTCACCCTCCCGCTCGCGGGACCCGACGACGAAAACGACCTCTCGTCCCCTTCCCCACTCCGGTTCGTTCGCGGCAGCTCGTTCCACTCCGTATGGCCATGCACGAAAGGGTGCCTGAGCCACTTATTATCGATCTCGAACCTCCAGTTGCTGCAGTTCCTATCTTTCTTCCTGCGTTTGAGCCCGATGATCGGGTCTAGGCGTTGGAACTTGTCAGCGGGCATCTTTTGGCAAAGGAGAGGGGATGGACGGGACTCGGCGGGGGACGCACCGTGGCCTTGGAGCCAGATGTTCTTCCGCGGTCGCTGCGTAGGCAGTGGGTAGGGTGCTGGAGCTGGTGCCGGAGCTGGAGCTGGAGCTGGAGCTGGAGCTGGAGCTGGAGCTGGAGCTGGTGCTGGCGCTGGTGCTGGTGCTGGTGCGCTTTGCTGCTGCTGGTTACTCATGTTGGCGGATGCGGCGCGGAAGCTGTACACTGCCGCCGACACCGATGAGCCCGGGGCTTTAAGTACAGCATGTTGAAGAGTTGAAGATGTTGTTTGCAGGGCTCGCGGAGTCAAGACTCGTTACGTGTGAATGTATCGTGTGACTGGGCCCTCTCAAGATGGCGTAGGTCTCGGAGGTGAGTAACGAGAAGTCGCTCGAGGACACCCATATGGTTAACCACGTCCAGGGCAGCCTCGAATCTGTGAGTCCACCACCTTGTTTGGCTGGCTTGACACTTACTGAATATCACCTGCGATCCGTCCGCGAGACGGTCACGATAACCGTACTCATGGCGATAGCGAGAACTTGCACCATCTCGTAACGGGAGACTAGTCATGTGTACTTCATTCTTCATACCTCCGTATCCCGTTTGAAATAGAGGCGGTGGTTGACACAGTTTTTTTTTTTTCTTTCTTTTCTTCACGTATTTCATTTAGCGAAGAAGAGCGAAAAAAAAAGACAGCGAGAATCCGCTTCTAATTCCCGCCTCATTGTGTATGCCTGGGCATCGCACTAACCTTTATCCGGGTAACACGCAACTATTAGTTAATAAATACAAATCGGCAGGAATCTGCTACGAGATTATGTCTCCTACGTAGAATCTACAGCTGAAAGGCTCTATCTAACTACGTAGTACTTGGTACCTTTGACTTTTCCATCAAATTACCATCTTCTGCTAAAGGAAGGTACTACGTAGGTACTACTACGTCGCAGGCGTAAGTATTACCCCTCGAGGGTATGGAAAACAGGGGGTTTAAAGTGGAAACTAAACTTTTAAGGCACCCTCGAGGGGTAATACTTAGGCCTGTACCGTGGTACATACGCCGCAGGCGTAAGCGTAATTGTCCCCCCCCCTTGCGGGTAGGCTAACCAGGGGGAGGGGAGGTTCCAAGTGGAAACTCAAACTTCCGAGGCCCCCCTTAAGGGTGCACAGGTGCACACCCCACCCAAACTACGCCTGTACCGTGAGGGACTACGTCCTACGCAGGTTGCAAAAAATTTCCAAGGCAAAGCAGCTACGCAGCGAAGAGGAGAAAGCGGAAGAAGAAGAAGAAGAAGAAGAAGAAGAAAAAGAAGAAAAAAAAAAATACAATAAAAGGGGGGGGGTTTCGGTAAGGATGTCGTGGTACCGTACCGTACCGTACCGTACCGTAGACCGGTACTTTCGCCGCAAGCGTTCCTCGGGCTCCTAGCGCGAGCTTATCATTCCGCGTCGCCTAGGCTTGAAATAGTAGCTACTGTAGCTACTGTAAGTAGCTAGCTAGCTAGTAGCTAGCTAGCCTCTTCCGAGGCTGCGAGCTGGGGGGGGTGAGGGAGTTGGGGACTCGGTACTGTGTAAGTACTGTGTAAGTACTGTGCACTGTGCACTGTTACTGTAACAACAACAACAACAACAAAGGGCGGTGGGGTAGGTACCACGGTACAGGCCTAAGTATTACCCCTCGAGGGTGCCTTAAAAGTTTGGTTTCCACTTTAAACCCCCTGTTTTCCTTACCCTCGAGGGGTAATACTTACGCCTGCGACGTAGTATTTACTACGTAGTACATTAATTAGACTTTACCCTTGGCGCTTTCTTTCCCGTACCTAGTAGTACCTATGCGATCTGCAAGAAAAGTTCCGTCGCATCCGGAGCTGGCTCCGCAGGTCCCCCGTAAGTAGTAGTACGTACAGTAGTCAGTAAGCCTAGTCTCATCCCAGCACTCTAAGTGACTTTATTCGGGATGCGAATAGGTAGGTAGGTAGGTACTGTACGGGAACAGCTAGTGCGAAGTCGGTGTCGAGATTATTATTATTTATTATCATTATGTTCTTCCCCTTGACTGGTGCCGATTGAGCAGTCGGGTGCGATGTCTCTGACGCTAATCTGGTGTACGGTGATTGTTCAGCTATGTATATATTTATTTATATATATATATATATATGTATGTATGTATGTATATATGTCCGACCTCGAGAAGTCCCACCATCCAACGTGCTCGCTAGAAGTTGTACGTAGGTAAGGTAAAGGTACCTTAGCTAGCTTTTCCGACTTCTGTTGTGTTACAGTTTAGGTTCGGGCGGATAGTACCGTACCGTACTCCGTGAGTACCTAGCCCGTGAGTACTGTAGCTCCCAGCTAGACGAAAGTCTGTTGTGGAGATCTTCGCAGGGACCAACAACCTTATGATGAGCACGGTGGAAGTGATCGGCGGTGTTCGTAGTAGTAGGTAGTAGGTAGTAGGTAGTAGGTAGTAGGTACTACCCGTCCAAATCAGTAGGTAGCGAAACGCGCGACGGTGTTTCCGGCTATTATTAGGAGAGGTTTCACACACGCGGTCAGGATTGCAGAGACCAGATCCTCCGGGCCGCTCTGCTCATATCCAAGCTGGTCTCACACTTTTTTTTTTTTTTTTTTTTCTTTTTGAGATGAGGAAAAATATATCAGATAGACTATCAAGTCTTCAGTGCCGATCAGGTCAGCGATAGTATTGTTGAGATGTCCCTCTCTTCGCAACTCCCGCTCTGGTCATGCATCCCAGCCGTTCGTATAGGTAAGGTAGGGAGGGGGCCAAGTCTCTGCATGACCAGATTAATCCTCAACTCACCATGTCAAAGTGGGGTTACGAAGGGACTCCAGGGTCTTTTCAGCCCGGAGCTCTTACTGCCGAGACAGCATCAAACCATCCTCGAGAAAAAAATATGGATCTGGCGGTATCAGTCACTGGCAGGGTTGAGTGGTATTAATATTACCGCGTAGATCGGGTCAGACTAGCACCCCGAGTTTGCCAGCCAGGGCATTCGTTGCTCCATATGAGGGCGAGGAAGCGGTGAGCGCGGTGGGGGTGCACCCGTCAGTCGCTCGCCTCGCTAGCAAACATTGTCTCTGTGTCTTTGATACCTCACTCCTTTCTCAGGGAGGGCTCGGATAATTTGCTCAACAGGCCGGCGGCAGACATGCAGATCAGATACGCATCCGTGCTGTGAGAAGCAGGTCGGTGGATTTTGAATGGAGTGTGCCGACATACTAGCTAGCATGCAATGCAATCATTGATTCTGCTGTCGACTTAAACGGCTGCTAGACCATCTTGACAGACACCGTGATGCGACAGTCATGATCACCGGAGCGGGAACATGGTCAGCAATTTCCTAGCAAATACTCGAGTCGTGATGGCACGTCGAGAAAGTACATCGATCATGGAGACGGGAGTTAAGCGAGCGAAGAAATCACTAACACTGCCATGTTGAATTCCAAATCAGTAAGAGTGTGGCAGTTGGAAACCATATCGGGCACGCCCTGGAAACTCTTGAGGACATGACCGGGGAGAGCAGAAGAGGAGAGAGCCGGCTCTGGGATTCAGAGATGATTGTTGCCCAATGAAGTGCGCCGGGCAATCAATACTCTGCAGGATCCTGCCCCCCCCCCCCNCCCCCCCCCCCCCCTCCCCCCTCCCCTCCGCCCCGCCAGCGTGCCGCGTATCTTAATTTATAGGCAGGCAGGTCATCCGATTGGATGCAGGATTCCGAGATTGTTGAGAAAGCAGCCTCATCGTTGCGTTCCGTGTCCGCGATTGTGAGGGAGGGAGCGTGGCAAGGGCAACATGACAGAGCGCTACGAGCCTCAGGGCGAAGTATGTTGTGAGTCAAAGGCGGAAAATGTAGCATTTCTCGTCATTTCTCATCAGTCGAGCAGTATATGACCCGGTTGACCTCGGACCCTGCTGCCTCGTAGGCGTCTCAGGTTCCCTTACAGATAAGATAGATCACAGTAAGAGGGAGCTCTCGTCCCCCCCAAAAGAAAGCAAGCAAGCAAGAAACCCCAAGGAGCAAAGCAGCGACGGCCGGAGCTAGCTCAAAAGCGTAGCGATACCTATCGCAGTCGCCAAACGACCAATCTCGAGGCCGGACCGAAGGCAGCCGTAACCATACAGAGTACCGGTAGTGCACCAAAAAGAACGAACGCTTCAGAACCGATATCCAAAACTCTAAACCGAAGCGCAACTCATCAATGCCTTACGATGCTGTTGAAGTGAGTTCCTTCGGGATAGCACCACGCTGCCGAAAAGAACCCCACCCCGTCGTGTATACCGCGGGCTCTTATAGTCCACGTCAGCCGGGCCGTACCCCGTTCCTCCCACGGCGACGGATACAATGGGCGTGCGCATCCAGGATAGCACTCAGCGAGGGTCGTGCTGAGAGTAGAACTACGTGGAGACCGGGAAGGCCTGCAAGTCGGCCGGGCGGGCTTGCTGAGCAGGGCTGCGGTCTCACGTGTGGAAGATGAACTACTCGTATATACGGAGTAGACGGAACGGAGGTCATGCCCAACCGGACAGGGAAGAATAGGCTCAGAGACAAACAGAAAATGAACCCGATAGTACTACTACTGCTTAGTGTATCGTTTACTCCGTGAATATATCGCAGCCACCACTACTCAGCCTTGTTCCTTCCGACCCGGTGTAAAAAAAAAAAAAAAACAAAAAAAACCCCCCCAAGGGCGTGAAATTACCGCAGCCTTATGGGGAAGGGTAGCCCAGGCGATTAGCACTACGTAGCACCAAAAATAGTAGTTGTCAGAAGCTTCCATGCATGATGACAGGATTACCGTACTAGTAGAAAATGAAGAAGGAATCACTTGATTGGTTCCTGCCAGGAAAACGGGATGGCATGACAGTGCGTACAGTAGACCGAGCCAGCCTAAAGCAAGCAATGTGAAGAAACACTAGGGTTTCGTGCATGGGAAGTCGAACCTTTGCAGCAGCAGCAGCAGCAGCAGCAAGCCCGACCCGTCCATCTTCTCCTTCTTCGTTTAGGCCCGGGCTTGACACATGCAGCCGCGAAGATCGTGAGGAAAAGATCGAACACACAATAAATGATAGACGATACATGATAAACAGTAAACAATCAACGAGCCCCGTACACATTGAAACCAGTGGACCGTCGGCGCCGGGCCGCTCGGCCTTGGCGGGTGATGGAGAGAAGGCGTGGTCCAGCCGCACCACCTAAACCTGCCAAGACGCCTCGTTAGCTAGTTAGACTCGGTAATATAAAAAAAAAAGGATACAAATGGTGGCCTCTACTGTATGACGGACTCGTCTTTTGATCGACAGGGGGCGTGGGCCTGCAGAGTCAGAAGACGTATGGTACGTAGGGTAAGCAGGATGGAAATCGTCGTTGTACGACAGCTGCCGGTGGCGGCGTCGAGAGGCTGCAGAAGAATCCCCCCGTGTGTAGGTGCAATGCGTGTGGCTTTTTCATGCAGACAGACATTCGGTTACTTGTAGGAGGTAGTCCGGGGAAGAGCGAGGGAGAGCGAGGGAGAGCGAGGGAGAGCGAGGGAGAGCGAGGAAGAGCGAGGAAGAGCGAGGAAGAGCGAGGAAGAGCAACAAAGCGTGTCCCAAAAGCATACTCCCGTCTCCACATTACGGATAGGGGTTGCAAATCCCCCGAAAGCAGGGCTGACTTGGAAAAAGTCGCCGTATCTGGGCCAGGCGAGTGGGCAGGGGGGCGGCCCTCTCTCAAACAAATCCCCACGCAGCGGCCACGGCGGCAAAGTCACAATTATCACCCGGGTGGCGCCATCCAGTTACGAGGTGACTACTAAGTAGTAACCAGTCAACTAACCGGTCAACTAACCAGTCAACTAACCAGTCAACTAACCAGTGGCCCAGGTGCCACCCACCCTTCAACCCCCACTCCCCCCCCCCGTGAATTCCCCGCCAGTTCGCCAGGCCCGTCAGTGGTTCGGGGTGGTCTGCTGTCCGTAGATTAAACCCGAATCCCCTCCAAGGACCACCCCCCTTTCTTTTCTCCCCGAACATCGCCTTCCTCCTCCGTACATGCGTCGCGTTCCCCGTCCCCCCTTCCATGCATCAACAACCAAAATGGCATCCGAGTCCGACACTACAGACACAACAGACATGGACATAGACACCGATGCCAATAGCCAGACCGAGACCGAGACCCAGACCCAGACCCAGACCGAGACCGAGACCGAGACCGAGACCCATAACGCCGACCCGCCCGTTCGGCACGTCTTGGTGAAGTGTGACGCGGCCGTCTTCGCATACGACGGCCATCATCTGACCTACCAAGACCATGGCTATGCCAAGGATATTGCGCCATACATCCCGCCCCCCGTGACAGCGGAAGCCGAGGCCGCAGACGCCGAATGCCCACAGCCGAGACAGGTCCCCCACAAGCCTCCGGCCTGGTGGCAGGCCCAATGCTTGTTTCGAGGTCTGCCGTCCCACGGCACCGTCGCAGACCTGCAAGAGCGGCTGCGAGGTCACGAGAACGATCCCATCCCGAGGGAGACCCGGGAGCGGGCTCGGAGGACCTTCAAGCGACAGAATGCCCGGGCGAGGGAGCACAGCTGGCGCCACGAGATGTCACCGGAGGAGAAGGCCAGCCGGGATCCGCGCCGGTACTTGAGAGAGATGTTTCCGGCCGGCAGTCCGGTCAAGGAGCCCGTGCTGTTGACCACCTACTTTGTCATCAATATCCAAGAGACGGCCGAGGAGCTGGGCCTGTGGTGCGCGTACACCCACGCCCCGACGGAGACCGAGGCCGTGGTGCAGATGGCAAGGTACTGGGTGGTCGTCGGCCCGGACAGATCGGCCGTGACGGAGAGGCTGCGGATGATGGAGAGGGAATCGCAGCGGCTGAAGTGCGAGCAGGAGGAAGAACGGCGGGAGCTGCGGAGGAAGAACAGGGCCTTGTTGAGGTCCCGGCAGTTGGAGGCCAAGCACGCTGTGGCCAGGTGCCAGGACTGGGATGTTTCCGGGGTGTGGCACCTCCGCTGTCCGCAGATCCAGGAGGGCTGGGACGTGCAGAACATGACGCTGAAGATCTATCTGGAGCGGACGGCGGAGGGACCGCAGATGTTTGCGGACTTGGATTTCGGGGCGGTGGCGGGCGTCTTTCGGTTTGAGCGATGCGCAGGCGGAGCGAGGATGACGGCGCCGATGAAGCCTGACCGTGATGACCACGACGACGAGTCCGGAGAGGATGACGAGAACGAGAACGAAAACGAGAACGAAAACGAAAACGAAAACGACTATGATTCCAGTGGTCATTCGAGCGACGGGGAGAGCGGCCAGATGGATATACACAACCAGGAAGGCGACGAAGATAACGAGCACAGGCGGCACAGCCCGACCCCCGACGTCTTTTACTTCGGCTCGACGACTCAACCCGCCGCGAAGAACCACCCGTGGAATTATCGCTACCGCGGCGAAGACCCCGCCGCGGGCGTCGTCGACCATGGCTCAGACGAAAAATTGTACACCATAACCGTCTGCGCCCCGACGGGCCGGACTCTGCAAGGGACTTTCGGCGGCAGCGCCTTCGGCGATTGCACGTTCACCGGCGTGAAGGTTGGAGTCGGCGGGCCTCCCGAGATCGACACGAGCGAGGAATGAGCAAAGAGAGACGAGTACGCCGTTGGCCGGGGAAGCGACGAGTGATGGTGTTAGGAGTTGGGTTCAAGGAGCGAAAACAGCTAGGCCATCAAAGGGGGGGATGGTCAACCGGGCGTTGGGTGCGCTACTGTGGGGGCGCTGCCTGGTTCTCCGGTATACCCGTTTGTTTACGTTGTCGCTTGCATTCTTGGCATCTCTGAAGTCTCTCCTCCACTTTAGTGCGCATCTTCTCGTGGCGAATGCATCATTCTTACCCACCACTGTTTCTCACCGTTGTCGCAGATTCGATGTCGGGCCCTGCCATGAGAGCAGAAACGGTGGTCACGCATCTCAGATCTCGCCGCCGCTGCTTTCGGGGCTCAGTGCCTTAATTGATTTGTCAATGTGTTGGTACACAGGTTGATAGTACTATCAGGTCTTGGTTGGTTGGGTTGTAGATGTCTGCTATTGCTATACTGGTAGTGGCGGTCCCTTCAGGGGACCGCAGGTGCACGTGCCATCCTCACGTGCCAGGTCTACCACCATTCTCGTTCCTTCCACTCTCGTTCCTTCCATTCTTATCTGCTGCATGGCCGTTGTACTCCGACACAATGTGTATTGTAGCGTGGAGTTCGCCACTAGACCTGGCCCAGTCAGGCACTCGTTTTCGCTTGTCGTCTATCTATTTAGGCAGCTATCTATCTAGCCCTCTACACACACACACGCTTCTCCCTCCCTTTACATGCCTGCCTATATCCCATGCCTAGAATCCCTTTATCATAGACCTACTACGCCGCCGCTGCGCCGTCTTATTCTCTCATTCTCTCATCTCTTGGATTAGGATGTTTCGGCAGTGGTTGTTTACAGACTTGTTGATAGGTAGAGAGGGGGAAAGGGAAGGGGAAGGGGAATGAGAATGAGAATAAGAATGAGAATGAGAAACGGATGTCAATCTGTAGCAGCGAATTACCACCATATCGCCAAGTCTAAAGAGGGCATCGGCCTCACGTCGAACCAACCACCCGCAGACATCGCAAGGACCAGCCACGCTCAAAGCAAAGATACCACAAGCCGTCTTCTCACATACGTACAGTAGTATTTTCCGCGTTGTTAAGATACCGGTACAGACAGACATGCTGATCCAAGAAGAGCCAAGCAACCTCACCCGAGTCCCGCGCAGTAACCGAAAGTGACGAGATGAAAAATGAAAATGAAAATGAAAATGAAAATGCTCTCCTCGAAAATTCTCCGCATCCGGCTTTCCACCCGCTGGCACTCCCCACCCTCCACCCTCTGGAAACGCCCTGCTCGGCCCAGCCCTCGACCGCCTCCGAGAGAAAAGCACCCGCATGCGCGCTCTCAATTCAATCACTAACCTCCTCTCCCCGTCCATAGATCCCAGCCTCGCTTTCATCTTGACCTCGGGCGGGACAGGCACCCCTATCCGCCTACCTTAGACAGAAGAGCGCCCTTGCAAGCAAGCTCCCCGCGACGCGGACCTCCCGCCGGCCGGCCTCCCCCCGCGACCAGAACGCCGCCCAGGTCGGTCACCCCCCCCCCCCGACGCTGGCCCCGTCCCGACTGCCGCCCGCCACGACGCGCCCAGCCCCGGAAGCCCGCCCGCTCGAGAGCCGCGCCGCTATCGGCACACATGCCGGCACTCTCCCGGGATATATAGCAGGGGACTCCCTCCTTCTCGATCCTGCCATGGAAGGAATAGGAGTGTGTATCCCCTCGCGACTTCTTCTTCGTCATCATCATCATCATCATCATCATCATCATCATCATTATTATCACTATCATTATCATCGCCCCCGCTCTTCTGTCGCGACGTCCAATCTCTCTCCCCGCCTTTCCCCACCGCTCAATACTCGAGCTCTGCGAGCAGCAGGATGCTACAGTCTAGTCTAGTCCCGTCTAGTCCAGCCTAGTCTAGACGAAAAACACTCCTCTAGCGACCCCATAGACATGTATCCGTGCCAGACTGGATTTCTTCTCCCCGCCTCAACTTCTCCGTTCGACGCTAGCGGCGACGGAAGACGAAGGCGTAAGAGTCGTGTGCGGCGTCGCTCTGTACCGATCAGCACGCATGTTGAGGCTGATACTATACTATACTATACTATACAGCTAGTTAGCTAGCTAGCTAGATAGATAGATTGGTAGGTAGATAGGTAGGTAGATACGTAAAAGCTGACGTGGGATATCGAGCTGGCTACCTACTTGGATTCGTTTTTTTTTTTTTTTTTAGTAGCTCCTCGACGAGTGCGCGACCTTGCATCCGTGTCTAGGCTTGAGCTGATAGCTCACTACCTACTACGGATGTCGGACGGGCCCGCTGCGTGATTCTTGTTGTAGTAGATATCATGGGGTTGTCACGAGGCCTGTTCGAGGTCGTAGCGCGCGCGAGGAAGAGATACGAGCGCTGATAGAACTTCTTCCTTGCATGCATGCCGCAAGCCGACTTCCACTACGTTGACCCCGTTGCCGCTAGCCTACAGACTTGAGCTTGAGAAAGGAAAAGAAAATTGGACGAAATATATATATATATATATGATTTTGGTGTAAGGGTGCGGGATTTGGCCATTGCCCAGAAAGGAAAGGACAACCAGGAACATCCACCGCCTCCCCGTATTCGCGACCTGCTTCGGGCTGGGAAAGCGGGTGCGAGCCGGTAGTTAGAGCAGGTTCGTCGCGAAGAACGGGTCGAAGAGCGAGATTGCAAGATCGCGAGGGTTAATGGGCGTGTTTGAGCTCCAAGGCGATCGAGAGCGCCGGCTGCATGCGTGCCAGTCAGTAACAGGGAGCGGGGGTATCGAGCTGGGCGTACGCCGTATAGGTAGGTAGGTACCTTATTCACAGAGGTGAGGCCGGCCCACGCGGCCATCGCGAAAACCTCTTCGCCGCGGCGGTAGTCTGTCTGGAGCTCGATGCAAAGTGACTATGACTATGACTACCTACCTACCTAGCAAGTGAATCCTGGAAGAAACCGAGCCGAAAGAAACAAGGAATCCGAAGCTCGAAGCTCGAAGCGCGGCTGGCTCTTCACACGTACAGTAATAATTAATCCCAAGCACCTCCGTGGTCGTTGTGTCGGTCGGTCTGGCAATAGACGATCTGATGCATGGCACTGCAAGCTGTCGGGTTTCGTTCTGGGCCAGCGAGCCCGATCCATTCATGACCTGCGCAGCCTAAAACCTGTCTCCTAAGAGCTGTCCATTTCGTACTCGGTTGCACAAGATCACTGCCCCCTTTTTCAGCCAGCGCGGGAGTGTGAAGGAAACAACGACCTTATGATCTCTGAGGTCGCCGACTCGCTACTGGTTGGCTTGCATTTCATGATATGTATGTATATGGTCAGCGAAGAGATTCTTCCCAAGATACTTTATCATGCCTTCTTCTCGTAGGAGAAAAAAGTCCGAAAATATCTTGTTGCACTTGAACATCTGCAAGTGGGGAAATTTCTTGAGAGGAGAGTAGAGTCTGATTTCAGATTGAATCACAGATAGATAGATAGTTCGACTTTACTGTGTTGATAATTTAGCGAAGTCCCCTGAATACAAACGAGAAAAGAAATCTAGCAGCACCGACCACGCAGCCTGGAGTCGAACTACAGCACAGGTCTTCTTGCAATTGCTTGCTATTGCATGATTTTTTTTTTCAACAGTTAAACACCTTCGTAGTGCTCACATTGCACCGACTCCACTTCCTCCCCGTCAAGACGCACGCCAGGAAGATCCCCGGCCAGTAGAGAGTGTACAGCGCCCAGAACGGCCACGGATCCCAACTCGCATACGTGCCGTCCTGCCAAGAGAGAACACGCGTGAAGAACACGGCCCAGCTGTTCCTCAGCCTCCGGAAGTCTGTTCCGAGACGCAGGAAGGAGAGCAGGGGCATGATCAGATGAGTTACGAGATCGTGTCCGATCCAGTAGTAGCCAACGCTTGGCGCAGGGACGACGATGGGAGGAGGTGTCGTGTTGACCTTCTCTTCGCTGCTGTCGAGGACCGCCAGGTAGGCTTCCGCCATGTGCAGAGCCTCGTCGGCAAACAGGACGACAGCGGTGTGCGCGCGAGGATTGCATTCAATGGGATAGATCCTGTTCATCAGATCCGGGTCCGGGCTGCTGCTGCTCTGGTCCAGGAGGAAGTCGATGGAGAAGTGGCCAGACATCTGCGTACCCATCTTCTCAGCATACGCCTGTGTATATCGCAACATGGCGTCGAACATGTCCGACGAAGGCGGGAGCGCCTGATAGTGCATCAGAAGCTCGGCGGACGCGCATGCCGTGAAGGCCAGCACACGTCCTCGCACAACGAGGGCGTGCGTGCAGAACTCCGGGCCGTCGATGAACTGCTGGATGACAAACGGTCTCGCGGGCGACGGCTGCAGCTTATTGACATGTCTCTCGGTCTTGGCCTGCGACGAGAACGGGAGAAGGCTCATGTCGGCCCGGATCGAGTCGTCGAGGCCGACACTCTTCATGATGAATCGCTTCTTCGGGGCGGGAGCCGCGTCTGGGTGCAGGATTCCCAGCGCTTCTTCTACGGATTCGATGAGATGCGTCTCGGGCACGTTCAATCCGATCCTCCTGGTGTTTTCGATGAAGGAGTGTTTCTCGTGGAAGAGACTGGTCATTGCCACTCCGAACTGGACGGCCTTGCAGTCCGTCAACTTCTCTACCGCTTCTGCAGCCTCTCCGTCCTCCACGGCAGACGCTATCGAGAAAAGTTAGTCCTCTTGCGAGAGAGAAAAAAAGAGTGACTCCCGCCCGCTGCTCGCTACCCAGAAACGTGATACCAGGAAAGGAATCTCATCTTACCAACTCCAGAACAACTAATCCACAACTCCACCTTCTCCCGTAGAACGATATCCACGAGACCGCGAGCGTAAGCCGAACTGCCCGTCGAGCCGCCTTCAGGTTTCCGAAGCCTGTAGAACTTGCTTAGCGCTGCGGAGAACCGTCCACAGACCGGGACGCCGTAGGGCTCGAAGTCGGCGCCGACCACACGGTGACCCGCTCGATAGAAAGCCCGCGCAATCGCCAACCCCTTACTCATGCCCACGCCCGTCACCAGGACTGTCCGTCGCGAGCCCGGCGCGTATGACTTTCGCCATTGGCGCTGGCGCTCGATCTCGCTTGCCAGCCACGTGTAGGGCGAGAGGAGCCAGCTCGCGATGGCAATGGCGCTACACAAGGGTGCACAGAAGGCCGCAAGTAGAATCAGAGATACATTTTGGAGTATGTGTAGAGAAGCTGGGGACTCTGCAGTCAGTGGCATTGTGGTGAGTGGTATTCTGAGAATCTGGCGATGTGCCTGGTCACGACAGTGCCTTGCGGAGTCCTGATGGTCGGCAGAAAGAATCGTTAGCGGCCTTTTTTTTTTTTTTTTTTGCTTCAACATGAGAAGATTAGGAGCTGCAGATGACAATCTTTCCCCTATTCTACCCTATGGGCAAGATCAGACCTAATATCGTCATCGTTGGAGCTCACTCTCCACATTTTCACGTTACTTTATCCCTTGACGGGTGTCACCCGCTGTTTTTCGTACGATGTGAAATTACCCGGCCTATTAAAGCCGTGGAGCCTTGAGTTATCGAGAGTAGGTAGATGGCTGCTGGGATTTTGATCTTAGTGTGGTTTTACAAGTTTAAAACCGCCCACATTCCCCCTCGTTTGCCATATTTCACTTGAAAATACTGGGGCTATCTTTGGAACACGGTCTTCGAATCATTATTTACAGAGCTTATGCCGTAATCTCCCATTTGGAAGGAGGCTTATAAGTCAATAGTTTCGGTCTTGCGAAGTGTTCATTGCGGATGTAGGTCGCAAAGTAACACCTAGAGTATGTTGGAATACGAGCAAGCATCTGGTCGCCAAAGTCGAATAATTTCTCTTCACGCGAGTCGCCACAATATTCCGGGCATTGACATGGGATTCTACGTCTCTCTTAGTCTGTACGAGTATTCCCCGAGTGCTAGCTATATGGACTCCACCCCCACACAGACGGTGATTTCTATTCCATCCTGGTAAGAAGATTAGCGAGAACAGAACGGTTGCTAGCTGACCATTTCGTACTCACAGGAACTCCAGAAGGTTCGAAACTATTACACAGCTTGCTCGTGTAGATGAGGTTTGGATCGCCCTTTACTTCAGTGCTCAGGGTCTCGATCCCTCCGTACTGGGCGGCAGACTTCCCTGGGAAATTCTCCGTGTCGGGAACGCTCTCGTGTGTCAATGCCATCCGCTTCTCCTGCACCGTGCTGCGGACGTATTTTAGATATGGGGGATTGCCGGGCGTAATGACATTGTCGGCCGCGAGCGTTGTCCCCTTGCCGACGAGACCCAACGATTCGCAGAGCTTGAGGTCCGTCGTATAGGCCGGTTTGTAGTGGTCGAGGAACATCATGTCGATCTTCGTCAGTTTCCCGCTTCCGTGCAAGGCTTTGATGCTCTCGTCGCTCGGACCGATAACGACTTCCACCATGTCGCCGAGGCCGGCAAACTTGACCAGTTCTTGGATATTGTGTGCAAACTTCGGGCTCCTCTCCAGACAAAAGTATTTCTGCCCTCCGGCGGTTCGCACTGCGTCTGCGAAGAGGATGGTGGAATACCCGCAGTAGCCTCCCAGCTCAACCATGACCGTTGGCCTCATACTTTGGATGACCTCGGTCACTATCCTCCCCTTGTCTTCTCCGACGTTCATCAGATACTTCTGTGTTCGCGCGAAGTCATCGATCGCTTGGAGGACCTTGGCTGGCGAGTTTCGGATGTCGGCCTGAGAGGTGACGAACTCCACGAGCTCTTCCTCTCTCCCATCGTCGAACTATACTGGTGTCAGCGCACGACGCGACCTTGTGCTCTGCTCTAAGCTGCTTCTTACGAATATGTCTTCCTGAGGAGCATATGCTTTGCGATCGTCAAAGATCGAGCCCATTCTTGCGTGAGAGTTGATGGGCGCCGGTTCAGAGAGGGAGGGGTGGGAGGCTGTGGCCGTCTTGATGGATCAGAGCTCGGTTTGCTTCCAGAGGATTGCCCACGGGGCCCGTATTCAGGTGCAATTGCAAGCGGCATGACTGATATGAACTCCACACGACATAATCATGTCATGTCATACCGATTGCGGGCATTTGCGGTCAGGATCAAAGGCGTCATGACCTGCACAGAGTACAACGAGACCTGATATCCCACGGCATACCATGGCAAGGCATGCCATGCAATGCCAGCCAGCTTGCAAGGTACCACCGGTAGGTAGAGAGAGGAGGATATAGGGTAAGGATGGGGTACGGGTAGCTGACCAATGATCCAGTCCTGAGCTGACTTTGACCTGACTTTGACCTGACCTTGACCTGACCTTGACCCGACCCGATATTTTTGGATCTTTCGTTTGCCTCGATTCGGCAATGATCTCCGGCACGGTTGAGGCCTTTTTTCTTCTTTTCCTTCTTTTTCTCCTTTTTCCTTCTTGTATTTTCACAGTTTGGGCTTGAGGAGCAGAAAAAAGCAATGCTCCAAGGTCATCTGACGTGTGACCTTGTCCGTCTCTTCTCCATCGAGTCCATACGGTAGTCGAGTTGGCATGAGCTCGAGTCTCCACCTTTTCACCCGCCTTGTGAGTGGGGCCGAGTGGGGCTCAAGTGGAGCCGCAAGGGCCCCCACTTCGCTCCGTTCCGTTAGCTCGATACTTAGCTGTCCGATCCCCGCAGAGCAGAAACTCAAGTGACAGTGTTTACTTTGCGTGAGATTCCAGATCTGACTTCGGACAGTACCAAGCCAAAACAAGACCCTCAACCAGCTAATCGGATTCTTGAATGATCTACTTCTTCCATCCACTTCTCCGAAATAGCATGCTTAGCTCCAAAGTCTCGTGGCGGAGAAGGATCCGTTTTATCGACACATCATCTCTTCGTTGATCATCGCTTCACCATCTCGCCATCTCACTACCTATCTCATCATTCTAGCATCTCGCTTAGTCGACATGTCACGACATTTTCACTTGCAGCACAGCACAGCACAGGGCAAGGCGGCTGCAGGTCGCCACGACGGGTCTCGCCAATAACCCCCGCGCGTTGTGCCGAACCCGGCCGGTCACGATGCAGGGCCCGCTGCCGTGTCCAGCCAGGGGTCTGTCTGTTGCACGTTGCACGTTTCACCAACCAAAAAGACGGACGACGCTCTTGGGGTCGGGCAGAGGTGAGGGGAGGAACGAGGAGAAAAGAGCAGGAGCGAGCAGGCGCGAGCAGGAAAGAGCAGGAGGAGCGAGCAGGAAGAGAGAAAGAGGCCTCATCTCCTGGCACTCCCCTGGTCTCTTCAGTCAATGATCATGACAATAATTGGACCTGGTCCTGCCACAAGAGTCGAGCAGGGGGATATGCATTAAGAAATTCCAAAAGAGGAAAAGATGTGTGTCGATTGCCTTGGCTGATTGATAGAAAGAGAGAGGCAGAGAGAGAGAGAGAGAATCGGGAGAAGATGGAGAAGGAGAGAGAGAGAGAGAGAGAGACAGAGACAGAGGGTTCTCGCCGGCAATAGCCATGTATTCCATATAGATAGCTCCCCCGACGCCCGTTCAGACCCTGTTCAGACCTGAGATCCTGATACCCCCGTACACTCACTCATTCATCAATTCATCCTACCCAGCTCGCCCGTCATGTCAGACATGAAAGCAACCGTGTCAGAGACCAAGTCGGCCTCCGGCCACGACGGCTTCCACGTCACGGGATACGAGAAGATCGAGTACGACTTCACCTTCATCGACGGCATCTTTGACGTCAAGAACAGTAACCTGGCCGACTGCTACAAGAAATGGGGTCGCTGCTTGGCCGTTACCGACCAGAACATCTACAATGTGTACGGCCCGGAGATGGAGAAGTATTTCGAGCACTATGGCCTTGAGCTGCGTATCCACAAGACCAAGATTGGCGAGAAGATCAAGACGATGCCCACTCTGTTGAGTATCGTCGATTCCATGAATGACTTCGGTATCTACCGCAAAGTGTGTACTCTGGCCTGCCTGTTCCTCGGTAAATGAACTCCTGCTGACATGTCTCCCCAGGAGCCTGTCTTGGTCGTGGGAGGGGGCCTCGTTACTGATGTTGCTGGGTAAGCCCATCCTTTTTCATTTGCCTTTAGTTGCTGTGCTGGTTATCTCTTATTCATAGCCGAACTGACTTTTTGATGTCCAAATAAAGATTTGCCTGCGCTGCCTACAAGCGAAATACCAACTTCATCCGCATTCCCACCACGGTCATCGGCCTCATCGACGCCTCGGTATCGATCAAGGTCGCAGTCAACTACGGCAGTCACAAGAATAAGCTCGGGGCATACCATGCTCCCATGCACACATTCCTCGACTTTACCTTCCTCCGGACGCTTTCCACCGCCCAGATACGCAACGGCTTCGCAGAGCTGATCAAGATCTCGACCTGCTCGCACCTGGAAATCTTCAACCTGCTGGACAAATACTGCGAAGACCTGATCGAGAAGTCCTTTGGGCGCGCCGATGGCTCGCCTCAGGAATTGATCGACGCGGCAGACAAGATCAACCGCGAGGGGATCTTCGAGATGCTGAGGTTGGAGACGCCCAACCTCCACGAGATAGGTCTCGACCGAGTCATTGCGTATGGCCACACCTGGTCGCCCATCCACGAGCGTAAGTTTCTTCGCCATAAAATGAAATGTATCCGTAACCCTCAAGAGGTCCCCCAGTGCTGACCTCGAGCTCCCATCTCCAGTTGCCCCCGAGACACCGCTCCGCCACGGTCACGCCATCTCCATCGACATGGCTTACTCCGCCACGCTTGCCAACAACCGCAAGCTCATCTCCGACGATGAGCACCGCCGCCTGCTGCAGCTCTTCTCCCGGGCCGGTCTCTCCATGGACCACCACCAGTTCGACGAGGCCATGCTCGTCAAGGCCACGGCCGCCATCCTCAAGACACGCGACGGCCTCCTGCGTGCCGCCGTCCCCAACCCCATCGGCCGCTGTACCTTCCTCAACGACGTCTCGGCTGACGAGATGAACGCCGCGCTGCGCCGACACAAGCAGCTCATGAAAGAATACCCCCGCAATGGCGAGGGCATCGAGGCCTACGTCGATGCGTCCGACACGGGCTACACGGAGAATCCCCAGGCCGAGGCGCAGCGCATGATCGAGGCGGCTGCGAAGAAGGCTGCTGGTGGCAGCTTGAACGGGAGCGGTGCGAGTAATGGCGTGAACGGATCCGCGAACGGTACGACGAATGGTGCCAACGGCGTCACGAATAACGGCTCGCACAGTCTCAACGGCCATGCAGCTGCAGTCCACGCCCCGGCCATGCCAAGCGGTCTGACAAACGGCGCATCTGCCAAGCTGAATGGGCTCAAGGCGTGAGTGATACAGCAGCAGCGCCGAAACTCGAGATAGGTTGAAGTTAGGTAGGTATATGAATTCAGGAATCTAGGAAGTACGAAGAAAGAAAAAAAAGTGGATAGACGCAAGTCCAAGCCCGAATCAAAATAACAATCATCGCGTACGAAATCATGAATCTCCACCTCTCTATCCCTCCTTCGCTTAAGTACCTACTTGAGGTAAGTAACTCACTCTCATCCCTCGCTTACCTAACCAAGCTCATCTACTACAAGCTTAAACCGCACCTCCGTATCAGATAGTCCTCCCTTTCTTCCTTCTTCCTTCTATTCTCACCAACTACCTAACTGACTGTAAATGTAAATGTAATTGTAAATGTCAAATGTTAAAAAAGGCGCAAGGTCCTTCCTTCATCAGCCCCCTCCCCCTTCTCTCTCTCCCTCTCCCCACTCACTTACTCATCTATATCGCCCATCACCTATCACCTATCACAAATATCAGAAACGCCACATCTCCACAAAACGGATCTCAAGCAGGTCGTCAACAGCTAGCTCTCTGCGGAGTATTTCGGTCCCTAGGGACGCTTGGGGCTTAGGGCTTCGGGGCTTGCCTAAGGTAGCTCGCTTTCTAAGTGTCTTTTTTTTTTGTGTGTGTGTGTTCTGGCCTGCTTGCTTTGCTTTGCTTTGGTGTTGCTGGGGTCTGGAGTCTGGGGGTCTGGAGTCTGGGGGTCTGGAGGCTGGAGCTGAAAATGATGTGTGTGTTCGGCTTTGAATTGGTTGGTTGGTTGGTTGGTTGGTTGGTTGGTTGGTTGGTAGGTAGTGAAATGGTTAGTGAAATAGTTAAGGTAGCTGTATGAGAGAAAGAGGGAGGGAAGCAGTAGGATGGCAATTAAGGGAGGATTAAGGGTAAGTAAGCATTGCATTCGAGGGGAGATGGAGGAAGTGATTAATTAATAGATTGAGACACTTGTTGAGAGTAAGGGACGGTGAAGAAAGGACGGTGGGTTAGTTCCCGGAAATAGGTCTTATCTTTTTTTTTTTTTTTTTTTTTTTAGAAAGGTGAGGTCAGATGGCTTTGATGGCTGAGGGTGGTGTGGAATGGGTGGATGGATCAGGACGCCGTTTACACTCAATTAATATGTATGAAAGAAGGAAGGGAAGGGGTCGAGTCGATCCGCTCAATCGTCGGTTACCTTGGTAAAAAATTTCTTCGAAAGAATTGGCCGACTTGCTGTCATCGGGCGCTAATACCGGTACGCGATGGAAGGAACGAGTTGGCTGGGAGCAGCCGACGGCTTGCTTGCCTTGTTGGGCGCACGGCTAGCAAGTCGGCACTAGGGACAAGGGACAGTAGGTAACGTTATAACACCTATGAAATAGTAAATACTTATATTAGCGGAGGGAAAGAATATATATATATATATATTTAAAAAGGATTGCTATATGAATGTGTATTAAAAAAATGAAGATGCACTCATTTGCTGCGCGCAAAAACAATTGAAAAGTTGGGAAGATATTCGGTAGCTGAACACTGTCTTCAATAGTAAAATTTTTACTTATCCGCTTTGAATATTGTTGTGCGGAACAGTCATGACCTCTTCCGAATGGCGCACAGGCGCACTGAGGAATATAGGTAGTACTAGTATCTTTTGTATCCTCGGTCTTCTAGATAGAATTAATAATGGGAAGGGAAGAGCCCCTCGAGTTGCGACGTCAAGTCCCACTATTATACAAGCTTCATTCAATCTACGGAATCCCCTCCTACCTCGGTGAACCATCTGCACCAGAAATATCTAACCAACTACAATTTTTCTCTTTTTGTTTCCAAAAAAAAAAAGACACAATACATCTTTTAAAACGAAAGGATGATCGAATCTATTTGAATACAAAAGGGATTGATTATTAAATAAAATTTGGTAGTGATGCGAGTATACCTTTTCATAGGTAGTTATTATTGCTGTATTTATTTACGTCGAGCGGGGGTCGCAGGCGAAGCCCTAAGACCTTTTACAAGAGACGGCGACGTGCTAAGCTAAAGAGTTCTATATAAAAAAGCTTTAGAAAGCAATTCAAAGTATCGCAACGAGAGTTATTATCGTTTGCGCCTTTCTCTTACGGATAAAATAGATTATAATGAAAAAGAAAAAAAAAAACTGTTAAAAGAAAACTACAAAAGAGTCAAGCAAGTATAGACTGCTATAGTTAGCTTGTAGCGTAGCTAAGCGAGTCGTATAACGACTAGTATTAAGGTCGGACCGGGGTTGACCGAAAAAAATATTGCAAAGTGCGAAAGAAAATTTGAAATGAAATGCTTCAATTTTAAAAGAAAACTTCATGTAATATGACAATATTTAAAGAAGTTCTTTCGAAAGTGTGACGACCTTAAGCGATTACCTGAAGGAACTCACGGGAGCGCGGGGGATCATATAAGAGCTTTGGGAAGACCTTAAGGTAATAACTTAGAATCAACAACTACCGAGTGTAGAGGTTGGAGGAAGCTGGGGTTTATATATACGAAGGTAGGAAGCGCCAAGGGCTCGTGAACTATGGTTTGTGGATCAAAAGGGGGGAACGAGAGAAGTGAGAGAATATGAGAAGGAAAAAAAGGAAGGAAGTAACTTGGCGCACGTGGGGATACGCCTAGGAGACCTGGCGTGTCGTCATATCTGATATAGATACAGATCTATTTTTTAAAGCTTCTCAAGAGAAACTTGTTTTAATTTAGCAAGGCGATGTATCTTATAATCTAAAAGCTTTCAAAGACGCAATACTTAATCAGGCTATCTACGAGCGATAAGAGCTTAAGTATCCGAATAGCGAAAAGACTTATATAAGATACGTATACTACCTTGACGATACATGCAAGTGGCGCGCCCAATGCAATTATAATCCTCGAATTAAAGAAGCTACGATATCAATATAATAAAAGAAACATATATACTTTGATCGTGTTCGTTATATAAGACCGTTAGTTGCGCGGATAGCGTATCTTTTAAAATTGATTCCTAAGCTGATAATTACAACTAAAAACATATACGTATCTTTATTCGCGATCAAGTTTAACGCTATACGAGATCTTGACTCAAGAATAATTAGCATATAAGCTGAAACGATTATTAACTAAAGATACGGCTGCTTAGCAAATAAAATTTTCTTGCATAAAGCAATAAGTAGATTTAGCTGGGCGACCCACTTAAAAAGTGGATTAAGGCATGGGAAAAACAACTCCACTTTGTTCGAGGCATAGGAAATAATCGACCCATATTCTCTCACTTCTCTCGTTCCCCTCTTCACACCCGTGAACCTGGTTCACGAGTCCTTGGCGCTCCCCACCTTCGTGTATGTAAACCTCAGCTTCTCTTAATCTCTACACTCGGTAGTTGCTGATTCTAAGTTATTACTTTAAGATCTTCCTGAGCCCCATGTGATCCCCTGCGCTTCCGTGAGTTCTTCAGGTAATCGCTCAAGGTCGTCACATGCAATGCTTAAAGTAAAATTTTATGATAACTTAAAAATCGGCCGGATTATTACTGTACTGTACTATCCCCCTGAATAAAAGACGGACCCACTTGGTGAAAGCATATTTTGACCTTAAAGCTGACCGCTTATCAAATGTAGCAAAGTAACGTATGTTTTTACTTTCTAGTATCTAGTAAGCTTTCCTTAAGCATCAATCATTGCTTGATATCGATATTACTACGAATTATATGATAAATAATGAATTCTTAAGGAACTGCTTCACAAGCGTTAGGGTTGCAAGCCCCTGGTCAACCCCTAGTAAAAATATACTTTTCGTCTTTTACAGGGAGGGGGACAGTAAAGAAAGCTTTAAAAAAGTCGTAAACTTCCCAGATAGTGCTTAATAAAGTCCGTAGTCGAGTACCTTTGAGCTAAGAGAAGAAGCGCCGTCGTATAAAAACGACAAAATGCGAAATGCAAAAGAGACTTGCGTTTGCCGCAAGCATATCTTAGATTAGCGCCGTAATGCTAGAACTTAATATGACACCAAATAGAGTCTTCCTGCGAAGTTCGTATCGCAAGCATCTTATGCAAGATACTACCGGTACGTACTACGTATATCGTAAAAGCTTTAGCTCTGAGAAAGGTTTGATAAAGTACGAAAAACTCTGTTTCCGGTACGAGCGGAAAAGCTTCGTAAAGCTAATTTTCTCGCGCCTTATCCCGTATATCGCGCAAAAAGTGTGCAAATACTACTCATGATAAGCTGCGTAGCCAGACCAGTGTCCTGGTCCGGCTTCACCTTTCACAAGTAAGGTTTAACAAAAGTCAGATTTTCGCATCCCTCGCTTATTTGAATATTCATATACTTAGCGATTCTGACATGGGCGCAATCAACAGTCATCGTGACCCATTATGCTTTCCCTCGCCATTTGACCTTGGATGTTATCTTCAAGCTCAGAATTGTTAGTGTACGAAGCTGATAGCGGCGAAGTATCGAAAACGAACAGTAGTCGAGAATGGTAAAGGTGATTGAGGGTGGTAATATTTGTATCGATTGCTTACCTATATCCGCGAGATTTTAATAAGGTCGACACTTTGGACATGCTAAGCTTAGTTAACGCACGGACTTTTACTATGAAAAAGCATATTGAAAGTACCGTTTTTTTTTTCTTTAACTTAATACAGCATAATCCCAAAGCAACAACAAATAATTTAATTTAAATTAGTTGACTGCTGTTAAGCTTAATACGGTGCATCATTTCTTGCAAAAATATATACGAAAAGATTGGTAGTTGATTTTTTAACGATTATATAAGGCAATTTTTACTATCCCGGGTCCGTGGTGCTCCCAGGTTCTTGGTGCCGACCTGGTGCCGACCTGGCTGCGCCAGGTGACCTGAATTTTTTTTCAAAACTTAATCCAAAGGTAATCGACGATTAGCATTACCGGTAATTATCACCCATAAACCTACCACGGTACATGCCTAAGTATTACCCCTCGAGGGTGCCTCAAAAGTTTAGTTTCCACTTTAAACCCCCTGGTTACCTTACCCTCGAGGGGTAATACTTACGCCTGGGACGTAGTATCTATTGTAAATCAACCATAAGTATTCATATTCAGATTTATAGTCAACTTCTACTTTATCTTCTATTCAATCTCTGTCTGTATCCATCCATCCTTAGATCAAACTTCAACAAGCCACCGCCAGATCTTCCCCACCAGAACCCCATCCACGGGCCCAACCTCCCTCAAGGCCGCGCTCTCCGCCCGCGCCCGCCCCGTCTCGAATCGCACCGGTTCCCTCGCTGCGGGAGAGCCAGAGCCAGAGCCACCGTACGCGGCTCGCCACAGCCCTAGCAGGCTCTGCGCTGGAGTAGTGCTTGCATCCATCTTCTCCAAGGCATCGAGCCAGTCAATTGCACTCACGACGTGGAACGGCGGAGGGACGGTCTCGCGGAGCCAGGCCAGGAGATCGGTCCACGTGCTTGGTGGCGTGGAGGGGTTGAGGAGGTGGTAGACTATACCATTTCTGCTATCGTCCTCGCTGTTGCTGTCGTCGTCACCATCGGCGTCGTGATGAAGCGCTATCTCCACCACCGCCCGCGCCGCCACGTCCACAGGCAGCCAGTCCAGCTCCACGCCGTCCAGCATGGGAAAGAGACAGCCCATCTGCGCCGCCGCCGCGAGCATCAGCGGCCACGCCTCGGCGCGGTTCCACACCCCGTGCGCCGTATCGCCCGTCAGCTGGCCGACGCGCAGGACCTGGATCTTGCCCGGCAGCAGCGGCTGGGGCGTCGACGTCGTCCGACCACGGGCGGCGTACTGCGCGCAGATGGCTTCGGCGACCCACTTGCTCTTCGAGTAGCCGAGAGCGGCGGTGGGCGGGGGCGTCGTGCAGATCTCCTCCGGGATGGAGGAGGAGCGCAGCTGCTGCAGGTCTTGCGCGGTGGCTTGGCCCAGGACGCTGGCCGTGCTGGAGCAGAAGGCGAATCGGCGCAGGTTCGCGCACGAGGCGGCGAGGTTGAGCAGGGTGTGGAGGCCGCGGATGTGTTCGCCGACGAAAGACTTGAGCGGGAGCGAGAAGTTCACTGCCCAGGCGGCCTGTACAAATAACTGATTAGCGAGAAATTTTGGAGGAATGGGCACGGGGAGCTTCGGTAGGAATATAATCACTGACGTGGATGAAATGCGATGCGGTGTTTCTGATCTGCTCAGTTGTTTTGGCAGCGAGACCCAAGTCCGGCTGCTGCAGCTGGAAAGGCACACACCAGATTCGATGTTCCAGGTCTTCAGGCGACAATGGTAACTTTCGTCGTTGAACCAAACTGCTCGACACTCGCTTGGCAGCGCTGGCATCGTCTTCGGCCCTGACGAGGCAGATGATACGCGATATATCGGGGCTGTTCCTCAGGATCTCCAGAATATGGCACCCCAGGCTCCCTGTTGATCCAGTCAAAATCTAACTCTGGGTTAGGAATTCCATGTTACTCAATCAAGCAGGTGCGAGTGAACTGACCACAACTCGCTTGTTGCAGACACCACGCCTCGTTGGGGGCTTTACTGGTGATTGGACTTGAAATCGGGAGTACTTTTCAACAAGTGCCTTCACCATTTCCGCCTCTTGGCCATCGTCCACTGGGTCCCAGCCGTTTTGGATCTTTTGAATGTACTCGATAAGCCTGTATCAATCAGCGACAGCTGGAAGAAATGTGACATGACAGTTCATGGCTCACTTCACGATATTACCACAATCATATACAACGTTCCACGGTAAAGATCGTCCAACTCGCTGATTACAGTCAGTTCAATCTTGCTTGCACATCCAGAGTACATATCCATCAGACGCATACCTTTTGAAGAAGTGATCTTATCTGTGTAGCTCTCGTAGAGTCCACTCCATGTTGATAAAAGTCCGCCTCATCTGCAATACTGACTTGACTTCCCATGACCTCTAAAATCCCACCCCTCACGATCGATTCCGCACTCGCACTTTCGTCAGAGCCGTCATGCTGCGCCTCCTTGCTTACCACCTCGTGGCCATCCACCCGGTACGCGTTCTCAATGTCCATGGCATACGTCTTCTCCGCCTGATTCCGCAGCAAAGTGCCTTTGCTGCTCCGCTCAAGAGGTTGGTGCGTGCCTGCCATTACGACCACCATGTCCCGAGCTATGCGAGAATGGCTCGGTCCGTCCGAGTTCACTTTCTCGATGCTCCTCCAGATCTCGTCTGCCAATTCATCAGCCGTAAGGCCGTCGTTCTCGGAGCGAGGAAAGATCAGGACGCCAGGCATCTGCCTGTCGTTTCCAAAGATCAACACATCCCGCACGACCGCGGAAGTGGCTCTGATTGCGTCCTCCAGAGGCGCAGGGTCGAACTTCTTCCCCGTAAGCAGCGTGATCTGACTGTCGCTCCGACTGTGATATCTCCAGGCATCCGCTATGGTTTGATGCGGCTCAAAGAGGTCGCTGGTAGCGTAGCTACCATCACCTCTGTTACGTTTCGCCATGTGTGGCCAACTGGGCAGGACGACCAGCTCAGATAAGCCAGACCCATCGCCTTGATCCTCGAAGCGTAGCGGACTTCGCGGTGGTGCTCTCAAGTATTGCCACTCTGTATCAGATGAATACGCGCGATGAGACGAGAGCAGGAATCCACACTCGGCGCTTCCGAAACGCGAGGTCAGGTGGATTCCCTTTGCCACTAGGGTGTCGCCAACTTCTCGGGGAAGGGCTGCGCCTCCTACGCCTACTATCTCCATGCTTTGGAGAGCTGAGAGCCCGGCTGGGCTCTCCGCGAGCATCTTGAGGACGTATGGGACGCTCGAAAAGTATTTCACCGACGGCGAGCTGTCAACGGCGGTTGCTCGCGCAGCGATGGACAAGCACGAAAGGATCGTCTTTGATGTGATGGGGACGTCGGCACCAGGGAAGAGCCATATCAGGGCGTTACTTTTCCACGCCCGAAAGCAGTCCGCGATACCCCCATGGTACAGAGGCGTCGTAGTGAAAGTGGCCGCATCCTGCCCCTCGAGACTCGGTAGAACCCCCACGGCGCCCGAGTTCGATTGCGGGATGGGCTTCGGCAGCCCTGTCGACGTTCCGGACGAGTGGTGAATGTATGCTACATCCTCAGCCGAGGGTTTCGGCCCCAGAACCTGATCGGCACGTACTCGTACTCGTGTATCTCTCACTAGATCGCAGATGCGGCTCTCGGGCTGCGTCCCTTCCTGCCAGTATAACAAGATGGGCCGCAGCGCTGAGCCAAGCTTTGCCGCAGCGGACGCGGCTTTGGAATGTACCGTGTCGTGGTACAGCCGGGAAACTTTGCACGACTTGCATAATGCCCCAATCGCTTCAGGGCTGCACTGAGGACTGCATTCTTTATCAGTTCACGCCCTGTGGAACTCGGCCTGCCGAGGAGGAGAGAACTGACGCGATCAGCAGGACTGGAAATCCCGCCCGCATAAGCCCCAGCCAGGCAAACAGAAAGTCGATCGAGCTGTGACAGAGCAGCGCAACGCATTCTCCATCCCCCGTGCGCGCCCACGTTTCGTCCTCGTGAGCTGGACCTAGGTGACTCGCTACTTCCAGCGACCCCCGGAGGAGGTCTTGGAATGCTGGAACAACAATTGTCAGCAAAAGGAAACGGAGGCGGAGTGTGGAATGCGGAATGCGTCTACGAACTGAATATCTCACGCCCCCAGTCGTGCCCCTCTGCTGACGGTACGGGGAATCCTGCCGCTGGCAAGTCGGGGTGCTTCCTCGCCTGGCTCTCCAGCAGTTCGTTCACGGTCCGGACGTTGTCTGAGGATCGAGAGTTGTTGGCCTCGGCTGCCTCGCCCAGCGTGCAGGTGAAATAATTCAGAGGAGCGCGGTCTATCATGATGTTTTTGTTTCGTCACAGATGCCATGATTCTGGCTAGGGGATGGATGGATAGATGTTGTTGTTGTTGTTGTTGTTGTTGTTTTCTATTTGGTGAAAGTGGGCCTCGGCTACAATCACCCAGAAGAGCTTCAAGTCCCTACTGTAGCAACGGGAATGGGGGAATGCAATGCACCTCCATGCAGTTCTATTGCTTCTTCCCGCTCGGAGGAAGTCATGAGTTACGACATACATACATCCTAGTTTGAATTTCTGCATCTGCATATACTGGTAGGTAGATCTGCATCGCTATCTTTGCCGAGACTCTGGAGTTGCATAGGCTTTTTGTTGTGCAGCTGAGCGCTGCATCATGATAAGCTGGCTCGCGGCGTGGATTACGAGCATTGGGTTTTTGGCTGCCACGGTAGGTACATGGCACTGCGTTGTTCAAACAACAAATCAATATATCCGTAATAATCGTACCCCGGGTCGGACTAATCGCTATAGGCATGCCGTTCCTCGATATGTAAAACATGATAGGTTTGGAGAGGAGACATATACCGAATGTATATCTATATCTATATACATGTTCAAGGCACCCAAATACTTCTGAGCGCATGAAAGGAGTTCCTGGGAACTGTTTTCCACGATATCAGCTGCGCCGGTACCGCTACAGATAGATATAACAGAACGGCCCGCTCAAAGGACTCAGCAAGTCTCCCAGCGCAATGTCACCCGCCAGCGGACCCAGATTCTGAAGATCCGCCAGGGTGGCGTTGGCACTGGGAGGAATGTTCAATACGGTCAGCGTTCCGGCCACTTCTTTCACGCGCGCCGGCCACTTGAGCGATTCCCAGATGACCCAGGTGCGGTCTACCATGGCGTGGTGGAGAAAGAATGCGGGATCGCCAGGCGAGGCGAAAAAGTCTGCGCCGGGGTCTCCGTCCATGGTGAAGTGGCCGGCTCCACTAAGGGGAGAGAGGACTTAGCGTTAGCATTGCCAGTTCGTACAACTAAAGAGAGTTCTTGACGCAGTCCAAAGACGTGAAGGAAGAAGTACGAAAGGCCGGATTAGGCTCCATCATTCCTAATAAGACAGCCTCGAAAAGGGGCGGGAAGGGAGTCAACGCTCAGAGAATTATAGGTACGTACTGGACTCCGAGAAACCCAGTTGCGAAATCGCCCTGCATCCGATTCTGAAACGTAAACACATCCGGCGATTCCACGATCAGAGACAGGATATCCTCCATCTTAAGCCAGGTCGAGGATGCTTGCGTGCCGATATCTCGCCGAAGACAACGCGGATTGTAAGCGAAAGTGCTATTCGACGGGACAATACCATCCATGGCTGGTGCGATCGGTCCCAGATTTACTTGCATGCTGTTGAGGAGGTCAGAGATGACGGGAGGAGGCTCGGCAGTGGTGGTATTTGAGAGCTTACTCTTTGAAGGGCCCGGAAGTGACGCAGCCACCGCCTTTCCCTGAGGGCAGGAAAATGTATCCAGCGCCTGCAAGGGTGCCATTGTGGAGGAAGAACGCCCCATCGCCGCTCATCGAGGTAGCTGAGCCGTCGAATACAGGTGACAAGGACGGGTTGGTTGCGTGCGTGGCCCAGTTCCAGTACTGAGATAATCGTTAGCCAGATCATATTTGGACTTCGGTCGGTTGGGACTTGCTGGCTGGTATCCTCGATATCCGCATTCCCGTCGGAGGGCTTGTTCGTAAGTGTGCACGTAGTATCGATGCCAGCCTAAAAAATTGCCTGTGCCGTGGATGCTCGTGGTCTGGTTGATGTGGACGACGACGAAGTCATCGTAACGGCTCCGGGCTCCAGGGTACTGGGTCTGGTTGAGGATTGAAGGCTTGCTCATCAAGCAGAGAACAGCATCGGTGTAAGATATACGGTCAGCTGCTGACAGATGGTCCCTTTTCATCGCGTTAGAGAGTTCATTAACAGTATGATGATAATTTACCAATCGCGTCTGATGGCAGCGTTCTTCAAACTACATTTCTGTGCTCGAGACGAAGTACTACTGGTCTCCGATTTGCGGATGTTTTCAAGTCCCTGCAAAGCCAACAGTGCAAGTGCATCGTTAGGCTTGAAAGAATCGATCTTCTGGACAGAGTCAACTATAGCATCCTGCTTTGGCATCCGCGAAGATGTAGAAACCAGAGACGAGGAAGTCATAAAGATGACCAAGACTGCGAGCCGCATCTTTGCAGAGGAAAAAGAGGAAGGGACGGGCAAGTGTCAATTCGATGGTATGACTTGTTCGAGAGGTAAGTAAAAATGGCCCTGTATCAAAAGGCTTCTCGTTTGCTTATATGCATCCGATCCACCTTGGCTTTTTATACCCCCAGTGACATCCTCGCTTAAACAGTCAAGACGTTGAGATGCATGGAGGGGTAGGTCACCAGTTGCCGGCAAAAGTTAAAGCCCTGTCCTTATCCAGACCATCGAGAATCTAAAGCATCATCGAACACCGAGTACCGTAGATAGTTCGAAGCCCAGGGGCTAAGCGAGCGAGCGGAGCAAAAAAAACACAGAAAGCTTATCTTATCATCTTCGAAGGTCATTACATCCATATTAACGAAGTAAAATTTCTATACTAACAGATTTACTACTATAACTTCAGATGAAATGGTCATGGTGCCTTTCTGTATGTGCGGGGATCTATCGCTCTTCGGGATTAAGATCAGGAACAACAAAAATCAGAACTCTTGCGGTTCATTCGATCTATAATTGCCGGGTTTCTTTACTTGATTGCTCATTTGTTTGCAAGCGAGGCCCGGCTCTCAAACGAGTCATCACACAGGCAATATGTTAATCTTAACTATCCAATCTTGTTCGGAAGTACTTAAAGTTGACTTGAGAAACTATAAGCCCCTCTGACCAGTTGCATGCAGTAAAAGAAGGGCAGAATGCTGCCGGATGTCCGGTTGATTCGTGGCTCAATCTAATGTACACGTATGCTTATAGCTTGATTAATACTATCCCCCTCCCTGAATAAAAGACGGATCCACTTGGTGATAAGATATTTTGACCTTAAAGCTGACCGCTTATTAAATGTAGCAAAATGTATATATTTATTTTTCAATATTCTGCAAGTTTTCTTTGAGCATCAATCATTGCTTGATATCGGTTTTATTACGAATTATATAAAGAAATAATGAATTCTTAAAGAACTGCTTCCTATGCGTTAAGGTTATAGCCCCTTTATCAACCCTTAATGAAAATATACTTTTCGTCTTTTATTCAGGGAAGGGGAGGGGGGCTACGATTCTTTACCAAGTAGTAGTACTTGTACGAAGTGCTTTTTACGAACCTTCAGCTCTCTTTTTTTTTCCTTGCGGTAGAAAAAGAGATAGAAAGTGTAAAGAGCCGAAATTAAACTATCAATATGCGACTTTTCTTAAAAGATATCTTTTTTTCCCGGCGGTTCCGAACCTCATTCCTCTTTTTTTTCGAATACCACGCTAATTACGATCTATACCTGACGGGTATACTGAATCAAGGTGACTAAAGAGATTTGCAATAAAAAAGGAACGGGTGTAAGAGATAAAATAGAAAAGGCTTAATTCGATTAATCGAAACACGGTATTGCGCTTTCGAAAGAGCGTTTTGCAAACATATCGGCCTTATCTAATAGCTACGGACGCGGGCTCTTTTAACTTTATAATAAAAGAAAACGATATTTATATGATACGGATCGAAGCCGCTCGTAAAGCTATACGTATTCGACAATTATCGAAAGAAAACTCGACGCATAGCATTATAAATTGCTTTTAAAAGGTTTATATAATATTTAATTATTTAAACGAAAGCCTTTTTTAACGTAGTTTTTACTCTTGATTAAATAATAATTTATATGTAATTTCTTTACTTAGCACGTCGCCGTACCTTATAAAAGGTTCCTAAGATCTAAGCATTGCGTTTTGGATACCCGACCGACGTTAATACCACGATACAGGCCTAAGCATTACCCCTCGAGGTAGTAGTAGTATATGCCCGAAACAATGTACAAACGCTGTCTGAGCGCAATTCTAAAAGTTTTCGTTGACAGGGCCCTTATGCAAAGGGTACCACTAATAATATAACGATAATAATTCAAGCAGCATTGCCAAGTATCAAGTGTGCACAGACTAAAATTGTACATTATTTACCCATAGTACGAAGTATAACAACAATAATAATAAATTCAGGGAGAGGGATAGGTAGTGTAGTTGACTTGAAAAACTGTAATCGTTGGCTCGCCTAGATAACGCTTCTTACATTCTTTCAGTCTTAGTCGGCGCAAGCGATTGCGGATCGGAAGCGAATGCAAATTTTACGTATAATCGTCGGTTACCTTGAATTTCATTTGTAAAAAATCCCGACCTGGCGCAAGGTGGTGCAGTAATGGTTTTCTACTTACTATCCCCCTCCTTGAATACTCTCCCCCATGAACACATGTCGGACCCAGTTTAAGTTCATAAATCATAGAGCGGTGGTTTCTGAATGGCTCAAAGCCCTGTCAACTCCACTGTATAGATTAAATACTAGCTCAAAGATACTTTTCAAAGCTGAATCCTTATAAGTTGATTGGTTTAAGCCCTGGTAAGATCTCTTGCGAAATTATACTTTCGACATGTACTACTAGTCATAGGGGGAGAGTAAAAGACGAAAAGTATATTTTTACTAGGGTTTGTAGGGTTTGACCAGGAGGTTATAACCCTAACTCTTGTGAATTTGTTGTTGTCGTTGTTGTACTACTACCACGGTACAGGCCTAAAGTATTACCCCTCGAGGGTAGGGTAACCAGGGGGTTTAAATGGAAACTAAACTTTTGAAACACCCTCGAGGGGTAATACTTAGGCCTGTACCTTGGTACGTACGCAGTAAATGTTTGGTACGTAGTACTACTTACTACCTTACTACTACTACTACTACTACTACTTACAGTAAGATCCCCTCCCAAAACACTCTCTCGTCTTATACTTTCCCAACCGAGGTATGGGTCGGGGGTCGGGGGTCGGGGAGGGTTCGGGGAGGAAGATACTCCGACCTAGTACTGCGTACTACTACAGTAAATACCGGTAGTAGTACGGATACTTCGTATTAGTAGTAGTAGTTGTTGTTTAATACTATCCCCCTGAATAAAAGACGGACCCACCTGGTGAAAGCATATTTTGACCTCAAAGCTGACTGCTTATTAAATATAGCAAAATAACGTATATATTTATTTTCTAATATTTTGTAAATTTTCTTTAAGCATCAATCATTGCTTGATGTCGATTTGACTACGAATTATATAAAGAAATAATGAATTCTTAAGGAACCGCTTCATAAGCGTTAGGTTACCGGCGGTTCCGAACCTCCCTCTTCCTTTTTCTCGAATACCACGCCGACTACGATCTATACTTAACGGGCATACCGATTGAAAAGATCAAAAAGATTTGCGATAGAAAAGGAACGTATATAAAAGATAAGATAAGAAAGGCTTAGTTCGATTGATCGAATACACGGTATTGCGCTTTCGAAAATGCGTTTTGCAAATATACCGGCTTTATTTAAAAGCTACGAACGCGAGCCCTTTTAGCTTTACGACGAAAGAAAACGATATTTATAATGTACGAATCGAAGCCGCTCGTAAAGCTATACGTATTCGACAATTATCGAAAGAAAACTCGACGCAAAGCATTATAAATTGCTTTTAAAGGGTTTACAAGTGTTCAGTTATTTAACGAAAGGTTTTCCTTAAGGTGGTTTTTGCTTTCGATTAAATAGTACTGTGTATATAATTCCTTTACTTAGCACGTTGCCGTACCCTATAGGAGGTCCCCAGGGTCTAAGCATTGCGTTTTGGATACCCGCCCGACGTTAATAAATACGTAGTACTGAGGCACCCTCGAGGGGTAACACTTAGGCCTGTACCGTGGTACGTCTTATTCGTTTACGGAGCGCGAGGGCCGTCTGCACGTGGGTTTTCGTTGTTGTTGTTGTTGTTGTTGTTGTATTTATTTACGTCGGGCGGGTAGCAGGCGAAGCCTGCCGCCCTGGGACCTCCCATGGGGTACGGCGACGTGCTAAGCTAAGGAGTTACATACAAGAAAGCCCCAGAAAGCAATTCATAGTGATGTAGCGAGGGCTACTGACGTGGGTTTTCGTGGGCGGAGGGATAGTGAGTTATCACGTCTTGATGAGAAAGATGGGAGGTAGTGGGAGATGTGGAATACTACGTACCAAGTGTGCTTAGAAAACTTTGCTTTATAAACGTAAATTGAAAATATAAAGATGTATTCATTTATGGTGATTTAATACATTGAGATATAGTGAAAATATAAGTAAAAACTGTCCTAAATAATTCAAATTTACTTATTTACTGCGAATATCTTAACAACCATAACCTTATTTTTTTTTTAAAAAAAAACGTCTTATAGATCGAAAATAAATAATTTAATCCATTATATTACTAAAGGTATCAATTATTGAATCAAAGTTGATAGTGATGCACGTATTTTCTTAATAGGTTTAAATAAAAGTCCGACTTTCGTGTTCTTCGCTTATTCTAGTATTTACATAGCAATTCTGATATATACCCAATCAATAATCATCGTAACCTATAGTACTTTCCTTCGCTATTTAACTTTTAATATTATCGTTAAGCTTAGGCTCGCTATTATATGAAGCTGAATCATCCTCGATGACGAACGGTAGTTATGAATAGTGGTAGATGATTCGATTACGTGGAATCGAGCGATTTTGATGAGGTTGAAGTTTCGGATACGCCAAGACTTTTAACCGCATGGACCAATAAGGTCGAAACGTATAAGAAAAGTATATCAAAAGTACCATTTTTACTACTTTAACTTAGTATAATAAAGGAATAACAACTTGTGATTTAAATTGAATTGATTGATTACTACTAAAATTAATACGGTGCATATTTCTATAAAAAAAAAATATTACTACATAATAGTTGGTTGATTTTCTTTTTATTATAAAAGAGCAAATTTTACTGTCCCGCCTTGGTGGTGCAGACTTGCTACAGCAAGTCGGTCAATTCTTTCGAATTAAATTTAAGGAAAACCGACGATTATACTAGAACAATCTTTTATATTATATTAATTATTATTACAATAACAAAATTTTTATATAAATAGTCAATTTACGAATGTACTTCCTTTCGAAACATTCAAGATAGTATTATTCGATAAAATATTTAATTGGTTTGACAATTCAAATCAGTGAAAATCTTCCTGCTGAGCAGCAAGCTAAAAAAAAATCTTAAATCTATTACAAAATAATAACGAATCGTCGATAAGCTTTAAAGAGGGAAAAGAGATGCTAAGTATCGTAAAAGGGTCGATTTACGCAAAGCTAAGCGCGAGCGTAAAAGGATTATACGAGAACGCTTTGCTGCAGGCCTAATTATTAAAGACGACGATTTGATACTTATTCCAATTCTCGATTCAAACGAGATTTAGTAGTTGCAATATATTGCTAGTACTTATCTGGTGATAATACTAGGTTACAAAAGGAAGCTTTTGATGAGTGTGGTTGTGGTTGACTTGACTCGACTTCTTTAGAACTAGAAATTGGGGGGAGGTTGTACGGTAGTAGGTAGGTACCTACCGGTATAAGAACAAGTGCCAAGGCCTGAGGTCCGTGCACTGCCTTGGTGGCCCATGCACCATGCTCTCCTTCCACTTTACCTAGCAACACAATAACCTCTTGAGTGTTAAATTTTGCGGCCTCGTAAAAGAGGTATTTCTCGACCAAATAATTACAACCGATATTATCAAGGACCTTTCTTTACGGCAAGATGTTTTTCCTTCTCTTAATTTTAATATCGATAGCGATGGCTTCAATTCCAATAATAGTAGAGATTAAAACGATTCATTGCGTAAGGTAAAAAAAAGAATCAAATTTTAATAAGAATAATAATCGATAATCAAATGTTTCATCGGATAATACGATTTTAAATATTTCAGAAAAAATTATACTTGTAGATTATTTCTTTATGTACATATTGTATAATTGTAATAGTAACTGCTATAGTGTTACGGTAATAGCGACACTACTTCGTAAGCCAAGTCACGAGCGGGCCACGGGACCTGGGATTTACACGTTACCTCGTGAACTTAGGCTCCCGTCTTGGCAAGAGTGCTTATAAGACCTCTTCTTTCGCACTTACTTCTTTCTTCCTCTCTTCGTCTTTCTTTCTCATTACAGAGCGTACTCTTAGGTAGCAATACAATACTGCCTTCGACAGCCGTAACATATAGTATAAAAGAATTTCCAATATATACGAAAAATCCACATTCGCTTCCGATCCGCAATCGCTCACGCCGATTAAGACTGAAAGGATGTAAGGAGGCCCACCTAAGCGAGCCGACGATTAGAAGAAGGGCAGAATGCTGCCGGATGCCGGTTGATTCGTAGCTTAATCTGATGTACACGCATGCTTATAGCTTTAGTAATAATATCGCTTCGGACAATCTTTAGCTGATGCGAATAAAACTTTCTTGATACCACAAAGGCCGGATCGCCTATCCAGTGCTACCTCTTAATTCCTCCTCGCGCTCCGTTTGCGCTGGGAGTAATAAATCAAGCCCCGTTACTCCACACGTGACTTTGCTAATTTGACCCAAATGACATGAATTCAAGTTCGCAGGCCAGGCATCCGTCGAGAATCCATATTATTATTCTTCTTCAAATGGTTGGTGCCAAAATCATTCATATACAGCTATTTTAAGTATCAATTTCAGTACCAAAGATACATAGAGGAACCCCAGGAGGCTTGGCGTCGTCATCCGGTAGTGTTCGGCCATGCCCAGAATAGCGAAGGGACTTTCTTGGTCCGACGATCAGCTTGCCCAACCCACCGCGCCGGATCCGGCTCTTGTTCTTCTACACCTCTCCAATCTCCACAATCCACAATCCACATTCCCCAACAATGAAAATCTCCGAATAGTCTCACAAACATCAATCTCACCTAATTATTTCAATCTCAATTGACGACGACGACGACGACGACATCAATGCCGGAAGAAATCAAGGGCGTCCGCTCCAATTCCGAGCACAATGCCGACACATCCGCCCCTCTCCAACAATCCCCCACCCACGATCGCAGAATAACTTTCGAACACGGACGAAGCCCTACCGAACGCGATGAGAGCGCCGCCTATTACGACTCGCGGGCAGCGACACAGTCTGAATTCCAGCGGCGCGCCAGCACGCTGCAGAAATACTACTGCGAGCACCCCCAGCTCCTCCCGCAGCTCCCCTTCACCTTCCACCACGGCTTCAAGCGATGGAAACTCGGCGGCTACATCGCCCTGATGGTCTTTGACGCCTGCGTCGTCCCGATCCTGCTGTACTACGCCATGACATTTGGCGGCAACGTGGAAGGATTCATCACCTTTTCCGTGGTCACGGCGATTTGGGGCGGGCCCACCTATGTCGAATTTGCAATCAGGAGTCTCCGCTTGATCAAACAGCAGAGGTTCTACAAGCCCCTGGGGGTTGACAAGCGTTGGGCGTTTGATATCACGAATTGGATCATGGTGCTTACAATCGCTGTGGTGACAACATTGCTTATTATAGGTGCAGTGCCGCACGATGTGTTTCTGCGCGTGCTTAGTATGCCCGGCCCTGCTATCCTTTTCTGTATAGCTGGACCAGTGTTTTTGATGAGCCTATATAATCATCTTGGGTGGAGGGCGCCATTCCGCATCAGCTCCACGCCGAAGGGGGAGCTGGTGCATCCGGGTATCTTTTACATCGTGGAGGATATCGTAGCTGTGAATTCTGGGGGCGGCAGGCCGTTTCGAGAGGGAATGGATGCGCGCTATAGAGCGAGTCCGATTTTCAGGAAGTTAATTCGGGATTTGAGCTGGTTTTGGAGTATCCCAGGATTGATCATGGCGAGTGCGTCGACGGTGGTTGTGGTTATCAATCAGGTGCCGGAGGAGGTTTCGTATGGAATTGGTACGTGGTTCCTCTCTCGAGAATTTCCAGAATGAAGCATGCAAGATGCTAATTCAGAGTACCAGGCTGGGGTGTGCCATTCCTCTGGGCTATAATCTGGGCAGTGATCACAGTCCCATGGGTGCGCAAAGTTATGGCAAGGGAACGCTCAAGCTGGGAAACTGAGACCAAGATGATGACGAGCACGATGTCGAAACCGCCTTCGCTACACGATATGGAGGACTCAGAGCAGAAGCCACGGACTTCGATTCCTGCCAAGGAAGGCACGGAGACGACGCTGGTGTAGAATACGGAATACGGGAGAGTTGAAGATCTACATAATGACAGTACATTGCCGCGGGAGATGGATGGAATGGTAAAGACAGACAGAGATATGTACCTAGAACAGGGACTGTATTGCATAATTGATACCCCGTGTTGCCTGCTGACTGGAATTATTGGGCATCGGGCTTGTGCGACCTTGCGACCAGGGACTTCAAAGCAGATCTTTCGATGAGTGAACCATCATGCCAGTTTACTATGGTTGTGTACGCTGCCACTCTCCATTTGGAGCTATCTTTTGCATTGTCCGCCTTCCACCTCCAATCGAGCGGGAATGGGTGTTGGCTCCCTCCCCCGGACACGTAGATATTTCCTCCCCCAGATTTTACAGTACGGTTATGACGACAACGATGAGAAGTCTCGTCTACGAAATCCACCATATGATGCGAGTCTCGAGGCTCAGATCAAGCCTTGAAAAGGAGGGAGATCCCGCGAGAAAGAGAAGAGAAATTGCATCGGGGCGTCTAGAACAACGAGAGGTTCATTCAGGCATAGGATAGTAGCGTAGGCATTCAAGTCCCTGCCCAACAGAACTCTTTCCTCCAGGTTCGATCGGTGTCGGGCTTCTCTTCTTAGCAGCAATCAGACCCGTCCCTAGCTTGCTCCTCGCCTTCCATTCTCGCCTTCGATTCGCTCAGAGAAAACAATTCTTGTCCCATCTCGATCCCGCGTCAAGCTCTGCAGCTTCTGGTCCGATGCCCGCCATCGTTTCCCGAGGTCGACGTCGATACCGCAAGCTCTCATCGCCGCTGCATCTCCATTCAACGCCCTCGTAACACCGTCTGCTGCCGTCTGCTGGTACACCATCTGCGGTACCAAAAGTCGCTTGAACATCCCATCGTACCTGCCGTCTAGGTATTCGACGCTGATATCTCGAAAGATGGTCTTTTGCCAGGGCGATAGGGAGAGAAGAGCGAAATGAAAAGCTCCAGAGATCATTCAAACAAAGTGAACGCTCTACTACTACAACATATATCACATATTCCATCGGCTCTAGAAAGCGCTGGAGATCCACAGCCTCGGAAACCGCCTAGAAACCTGTAATCATCCTGCCAGCGCATCCCTCAAGGAAAGAATGAAGCAAACAAGAGCCGCAGATTGAATCATGATGAAAAACACGGACTCGTCGCACCTATCATCCGCACTCCTCCCCTTTGCTGCCTTTTCGTCTTTCGTTCTCTCTCTACTTTCCCTCGCGATAAAAAGGCTGTGTTCCGAGCTATCGAAATCTGGATGCACAAGTAGGGAAAAAAAAAAAAAAAAAAAAAAAAAAAAACTACTTCTCTAAGCGAGAAAAAAAGTGTAAGTAAACAAAGCCCGTAGAAAGAAAATCCAAAGCCAG